TGTTAGGCATATCAACATGGTGGCAGCGGTGCAAACTTGTTGTTAGCGTTACCGGTCGTCCCTGAAAGTGATGTTCCGTGAACTCTTGTAAGTTTTTAGTTTCAAACTTTGAATTTTGTCGTCGTGTATCACGTGCTCTGTACACAACCGCCATATTGGATTCACACTTGATACTCAGTAGCCTTAGATTTTGGAATGGGTGATCAGGAACAAGCTGTAGGACCTGTACAGGTGTACAATTGTCCGTTTAGATTACCTCCCCAACTTGAGTTATCCTCTGGAAATGTTTCCGAGAACTACAAAAAGTGGAAAAGACAAGTTGAAGTTCACATGTCAGCTTCAGGAGGAATCGACAAGAGTAAAGAGGTACAAGTAGCAATTATTTTGAGTTGTGGTGGACCTCATGTAGTCGAGATATATGACCAATTTCAGTGGGAAGACAAATCTCATAAAAATGACCCTGCTAAGTTATATGCATATGAGAAGCTACAAGCTTATTGTAACCCTCATTCCAACGAAGTGTTGGAGTCTCACAGATTCTGGAAGTTATCTTATCAGGAACCTTTTGACAAATTCCTTACAGAATTAAGGACACGTGCAGCATCGTGTAATTTCATGGAACAGGAGAGGATGATGCGTGACAAGATTGTATTTACAGCTACGGGTAAGCTACAAGCACTACTTTTAAGAGAAGACAAACTGACGTTGAACAGAGCAATTCAGATATGTAGGGCATTTGAACAGTCAAACATACATGTGAAAGGGCTTCGAGAAAACATTACTTCATCGAGCAAGGTGAATAAACTATCTACAAACAAAAGACAGAAAAACTTCACCAAGCACAAAGTGACACATAAACAGAAAAGTGATTCACGGCCTTCGAGCAAGGAAAAGAAAGAGTGTGATTTCTGTGGTTATACACATGAACATGGTAAATCAAATTGTCCGGCATGGGGCAAGAGATGTGACAAGTGCAACGGACGAAATCATTTTAAGTCCAGATGTAAGAAAATACATGCTGTAGGTGAAGACAATGAAGACTGTCCAGAGTTAGAAAATAGTTGGCTCCTTGCGTTGAAAAACAAAGACACACATAGCAAAGACATCACTGCGATAATGAATGTAAATGATTGCGACATTCGTTTCCAGCTCGACAGTGCAGCTGATGTAAATACTATTTGTCAGAAGTATGTGAAAAAAGAACAGTGTCGTTCATCTAATGTTCGTCTAAACATGTGGAACAATACTCGTATGAAACCCCTGGGTGAAGCTGATCTTGATGTGATCAATGTGCGCTCCAACATAATTCAGAAACTTAGATTTGTGGTAGTGCAAAACAATCTTACCTGTCTGCTTGGCAAGGATGCAATTCAGGACATGGGACTTGTGACAGTGAACAGTGAAAAGTTCATATCAAAAGTTGGATTAGAACAGCCTCTTGGTGACTTGGGCATTGCAACTCTGAAAGTTGACCATAATATTCAACCCAAAGTACTTCCGTGCAGGAAAATACCGATTGCTATCCAGGACTCAGTGAAGCAGGAAATTGATAGACTTGTTGATCGAGGTGTTTTAATACCAATTACAGAACCAACTATGTGGGTTAGTCAGATGGCAGTTGCTCACAAGTCAGACGGAAAATTGCGAGTTTGTATAGATCCACAACCTCTGAACACAGCTCTGATACGAGAGTATTACAGATTACCTGTATTAGATGACGTACTTCCAAAGCTTACAAATGCTAAGGTATTCAGCAAACTTGATGTTAAAGAAGCTTTTTGGCACGTTCGCCTTGATGACGAATCGAGCAAACTCACAACTATGATAACGCCATTCGGGAGATACAGGTGGGCTCGTTACCTTTCGGATTGAAAGTGTCTAGTGAAATCTTCCAGCGACGGTTAGACGAAGCATTATCGGGACTGGAAGGTGTTTTCAGCATTGTCGATGACATTATTATTGCAGGATGTGGTGACAGTGAAGAAGCAGCAAAACGTGACAATGAACTCAAGATGCAGAAAGTTCTTCAGAGATGTGAAGAGAGACACATCACACTAAATAAGGATAAGGAAGAATTGGGACTTCGTGAAATTTCATTTCATGGACACAAAATTTCTAAGGATGGTATCAAGGTTGATGAAAGTAAAGTGAAAGCTATCCTTGAAATGCCAGCAGCGACTGATGTCTCTGGAATCAAACGCTTATGTGGAATGGTTAAATACATGTCGAAATTTCTACCAGATTTGTCAAAGATATTGGAACCGTTACGACTACTTACTCGTAAAGACCAAAAGTGGAACTGGGACAGCAAATGCGAGTCAGCATTTCAGACACTGAAACGTAAATTGACGGAAACACCGGTTCTAGCTTATTTTGATCCATCAAAGGATGTCACAGTGCAAGTCGACAGCAGCAGAAAAGGAATTGGTGCCGTGCTACTCCAAGATGGAAAGACGGTCGAGTACGCATCAAGAGCTCTTACACAGGCAGAGAGAAAATGGGCTCAGATAGAGAAGGAAGCTTTATCTGTTCTCTATGGACTTGAACGTTTTGTTCAGTACACTTACGGAAGGAAAGTTTTCATCCATAACGATCATAAACCATTATCTGCTATATTGCGCAAACCATTAGGATTGGCACCTAAAAGATTGCAAGACATTATGATGCGTTACTTCAGATATGACGTAGAATTCATATTTGAGAAAGGAGTTAACCTTGTGATAGCGGATACGCTAAGCAGAGCTTTTCTCATGACTACAGAAGGAAGTGTGGATGAGCGTCACAGGATTCAACATTAACGGATAATGACATACCAGATATCAGGATCCAAGAAATTCGCGATATAACAGCTAAAGATGCAGATATGCAAACATTGGTCAACACCATAGCTAATGGATGGCCTGAAAACAAACAAGATCTACCAACAAGTGTGCATCATTATTTTGATTTTCGTGACACTCTAAGTTTTGAAGATGGACTCATTTTGAAAGGTGAAGCAGTCGTCATTCCGAAGACACTTAGATCAGATATGAAGATTCGATTACACAAAGCACACCTAGGATATGACAGTATGATTAGGAGAGCTCGTGGTGTGATATTCTGGCCTAGGATGAAATCCGATATAAAACAGATTGCAGATTATTGTGGGATTTGTCAGGAAAGAAAACCTAGAAATTGTAAGGAACTTTTAATTCAGCATTCAACATGTGAATTTCCCTGGCAGAAAATTGGACTAGATTTATTTGAGATACAAGGAAAACACTACATGGTTTCAGTAGACTATTTTTCCAATTTTATTGAGGTAGATTACCTACCAACAACAACAAGCACAAGAGTGATTTCGTTGCTTAAGAAACAGTTCTCTAGATTTGGCATACCAAACGTTATAATTTCGGATGGTGGACCACAATTTAGATGTCAAGAGTTTCAGGATTTTGTGAAGACCTGGAAGATCGACCACAAATTCTCATCTCCGATGCATCAGCAAGCAAACGGAAAGGCTGAATCGGCAGTGAAGATCATCAAAACACTGATGATAAAAACACGGGAGGATGGGACAGACCCATATGAAGCGTTACTTGAACAACGTTGTACCCCAAGACAGGATACTGGTCTAAGCCCAGCACAGATGATGTTCAACAGAGAGATACGTGCTACACTCCCAATGAGATCTCGAGTGAGCAATGATTTTGGAATAGCAAAGTCCAAACACAGATCCAGACAGATTTCCGTGAAGAAATCGCATGACAAAAATGCACGAAACTTACCTGAAGTCGATATTGGACAGTCCGTTTATTTCCAACACCGGGAAGGACAAAACTGGAAGCTTGGGAAGGTGATCCAAATACTTGGACAGAGAACATACGTTATTGCAGACCAACAAGGAGTCGAATATCGAAGGAATAGAATTCATTTTAGACCAACTAAAATACAGACCCATATTCGTGAACAATCTCCAGTTCGTGAAGAACCAATCAACAAACATGAACTCTGTGAATCTCCAAAACCAGTTAGTGAACCATCAAGCGAGTGTATGTCCAGCAAACGGATACCGGTAGTTGCAGGCTCAAATGAACAACATAGCGTTCCAAACTCGATTTCAGAAACTGTTGTTAGCAAGCCTTCTTACAAGGATATTATACCAGATACTCGTGTAATGCCAATATCGCGTGAACCGACAAGGATTCGTAGGAAACCAGCATACTTGAAAGACTATGTCCAAAATTGATTGAGATACTGTTTAATTCTATTTGATTATTTTGTAAAGAAGTTTGTTAACAGTTATTGATCATTCATTTGGGAAATGTTTAGTTTTAGTGTTTACATTGTGTACATCTTTCTCAGAAGGGGGGATGTTGATGTATTGTGATCGGACGCGGAATGCTCATAATTTTGTTATGTTTAAAAGACGCCATGCTTAAATAAACGTTGTGCCAACCTCAGAGATGTTTCATCAATTATAAGCCCTGTTAGGCATATCAACATATTCCTTGTGAAAAGTCCTTTCTATGGATACCAAAATATTTGACCTTTGAACTTTACCAAGCTTTAACCTTGGACATACCCTTTAATCGATTAGTGCTAGGGCTTTCAAACATCACATGTATATTCCTTGTGACAAGAACTTCCCTTGGGTACCAACAATTTTGAACCTTTGACCTTGACCTTTATGTTTGACCGAATTTTGAAAAAAAAAAAATTGACCTTGGCCATAAATTTGGAACAACTAGGGCTAGGGCTATCATATTTCACAGGTTTATTGCTTTTAGCAAGGCTTCTCTTTGTCACGTGGTCAAGCTGGCTATCTCCAAAAATCACACAAATTCAACTAAGTTTTAATAAATTTATTTACAAAAAAAGAGATAATAATAATAATAATAAAGAAGATTTCAAACAGACAACCACACTCTGATCCACACACTCTTCCACACTATTAAACCAAAAAAAAAATAATAGCAATTGGTAACCAATAATCAGACAATTAACCAATTAACCCCGGGTATAGATTTCACTCAAAGTATCAATGCCAAACATATCCCATTGGAGTCGTCATCTCCATATCAATGATTATCATTGTCATCATCACCATCATCGGCATCATCGTATGAACGAAACCATGTCAGATTTGCCAATACGTCAGTGTTCCTATATCGAGCTACACAATGTTACGTGGATTGACTTATCTGTATCTGTCCACCATCACTGAATCTTGACCCACACACAGCATCCTTCCGGGCCTTAGTCCTGGAACCTTTCGCTGTGTCTCGACGATCCCCTCAGCTTAGTGCATGTATCTAGCACATATACCAGTGTTCTTGACGCTACAATGACGAATATTTTTAAGTCACATGTTTCACTAAATAATGTTTGGCAACACTACTATGTTTGGCAATTCATTCTCATAAATACATAAATCAATCAATAGGTATAAATTATAATGGTTACCAGTTAACATAAGTCAAAACAAATTATTGCCAACATGGCGCACCTTACTTTCGACTTCCGGTCATTCACTTCCGCCCAGACATTTAAACCAAAATTTAAATGGACAAAATATTTCACATAATGTAACAAATCTGAATACAAGAAAACTACGTACAATAACACCTTTAAACTCTATCGATATAATACAAAAGCCATTCGAACACTCTCGCTAACCGTCACACCTGACTGAACAACAGGTAAAATTGTGAGAGCTGGCCAAGTTCAGAAATAAGAACGAATACGTATTCAGTAATAAATTTACCTAAAAAAAAACTATATACATAACGAATATTAATAATATTATAAGTAAATACTTACCACGGACCTGTCTCCATGCCAAAGCCAAGATACTGATTGTATGGCAGCTATTTGCATGTACACTTAGAAACGTGTCTGCAGCTACGCTTCTCTGCCGGGAATGACCAGGCCTCAATTGTTCTGGTCGGCCAAGCTATTTTGCAAGGGCTTATGGGTAGATGGGGCATAGGGACAAAACGCGGGAAATACAAATAATATGTACAAGTATAATAGTGATTGTTACACACCTCCCCCCTTAATTAAAAAAATGGTAACATTTTTTTTTTTTAAACAACAATCACTACCAACTTGTCCTAACAATTTTAAAATAACTAAACGTATTTACAAAATTCTTAATACAAACCTGACTAATTTGTCCTTAGCTGATTATTGGCGACTAAGGTAATTGGCACCTACGTTTTGGCTTCCCTTTATAGCTTCTATCCGGAACCGATAAGGTTGTAATTGTAGAGCCCAGCGCATTAACCTCGAATTCTCTGTTTTGGACTTGTTAAGGTATGTTAATGGCTGATGGTCGGTTTCCAATACAAACTCACGTCCATATAGATATTGATGGAACTTCTGAATTCCCCATACTACTGCTAAGCATTCCTTCTCTACAACAGCGTATGACTTCTCTCTGGGCTGCAATTTTCTGCTTGCGTAAGCCACTGGAAGCTTTTCTCCATGTTCCTCCTGCAAAAGAACTGCTCCTAACCCGTCATCAGCAGCATCTGTTCGTAAAATGAATACTTCACTGAAGTCTGGAAGCTTCAGAATTGGTTCTGAGCATAACATCTGTTTCAGCGTATCGAATGCACGTTGTTGATTATCTGTCCAAACTACTTTGTTAGGCTGACCTTTCTTTGTTAAATCTGATAATGGAGCGGCAATGGCTGAAAAGTTCGGTATGAATTTTCTGTAGAATCCTGCCAATCCCAAGAACGATCTAACCTGCTTCTTTGTCATGGGTACTGGTGCACTTCGAATAGCCTCTATCTTGTTTGACTCTGGTTTCAGTCTCTGGTCACCTACTACGTGTCCTAAGCAGTCGATCTGATCATATCCTATGAAACACTTAGACGGTCGTGCTGTAAGTCCTGCTTTCCTAAGTCTGGTAAATAACTCTCTCAATGCCATTAGATGTTCTTCCCACGTATCTGTGTATACGATTATATCGTCTATGAAGTTATCAACACCTACCATGCCCTGTAAAAGTTTCCTCATGAGTCGGCTAAACGTCGCCGGGGCATTAACTAACCCGAATGGCATAGTACGAAATTGATACAAACCAGACGGTGTTGAGAAGGCTGTGAGAGCTTTACTTTCATCTTCCATAGGAACTTGCCAGTATCCTTTACTCAAATCCAATTTTGAAACGTACTTCTTCCCTGCCATCTTTGAAAATATACTTTCTGTGTTCGGCATAGGCTCAGCGTCGAAAACAGTAACAGAGTTTAGTCTTCGAAAGTCTATGCAGAATCTGTTTGTTCCGTCCTTTTTCCTGGCTATGACTACCGGTGATGAATATGGTGAAACAGATGGTTCTATTACATTCAACTGTAACATCTTCTCCACTTCTTCCTTTATGACACTCTCGGTATTGAAAGGAATAGGATACTGCTTCACCCGTATAGGATCTGATGATGTCAGTTCAATCTTATGTTTCACTAGTGTAGTCATTCCTGGAACGTCAGTGAGAACATCAGCATACGACTCACACAAACATTTCACCGATTCTAGCTTATTCGCATCCAGTCCTTCATTGAAACGTACATCTGACACTGTTTCTGTCTGAGTATCTGTTGGTAGCATCATTAAATTCTGCTCATCCGGTGTTCCCTCTTCGCTGAAGTCAATTAGTGATATGGCGCAAGTTGTTAGAACCCCACAGCGTATTTCCTCACGAGGAATGTACTTTTTCAACAAATTGGCGTGAAGTGTCTTTAGTTTACCATGCATCTCAACTTTGTAATCCATATCGCCAACTTTCTGTACAACTTTGTAAGGTCCTCGCCATTGCATCAGAAGTTTATTTGACTTTGAAGGAAGAAGAACAAGTACTAAGTCACCAACTTTCATCCTTCGATCAATTGTTCTCTTGTTATAATGTTTTCTCTGGTACTTCCTTGCTTTTTCCAATTGTTGATGAGCAATCTTGCAAGTCTCTTCAAGTTTTTCCTTTAAATCTAGAATATATTGGTATGTAGTCTTCACCTCTTTGTCTGGTATGTCCTTGGTCCATAGTTCCTTCAGTATCATCATTGGGCCACGCACTGATCGACCATATAGAAGATCAAAGGGTGAAAATCCAAGGCTCTCTTGAGGTATCTCACGATAAGCAAAGAGTAGTGCGTTGAGGTACTTGTCCCAGTCTTTAGGGCGTTCAGCACACATGCGCTTGAGCATCTGCTTCAACGTGCCGTTGAATTTTTCAACAAGGCCGTTGCACATCGGATGATACGGCGTTGTAGTTAGGCGTTTGAGTGACAGCAATCGGCTAACTTCTTTCATAACTTCAGATGTAAACTGTGAACCCTGGTCTGTAAGCATTTCAGATGGAATACCAACTCTACTGAAAACGTCTACAAGCGCTTCTGCAACTCGTTCAGTTTCAATTCCTTGCAGTGCCACAGCTTCTGGATACCTGGTCGCATAGTCTATAATAGTGAGGATATATCTATTTCCTCTGTCTGTGATTGGCTGGAGTGGACCAACAATATCCACAGCAATGCGTTGAAATGGTTCTGATATCATGGGCATTTGTCCAAGAGGAACTGCAGGTACTTTTCCCTTAGGTATTGTTCGTTGGCACACGTCACATGAACGACAAAATCGCCTGACGTCTGCTTGTACTCCTGGCCAAAAGAATTCTGCTAGTATTCTGTCTGTGGTCTTCTTAACACCCAAGTGGCCTGCCATAAGACATTCATGAGCCATCTTCATGACCAGTGATCTGTACTTTTTCGGAACCATAAGCTGTCGATAAGTCTTTCCATTTGACACTTTTGGACTACTGAATTCTCTGTAGAGTAATTGCTTCCGTATATACATCCGAGTTGAACCTCCATCACCAAGCTCCTTTACTGTCCCTTGTTTAGCAAAGTCCCAACTCTTGCTTAATGAATTATCCCTCATCTGTTCACTTAACATCTCATCCCGTGATACATCTTGTAGAGTTTCAGGAACCCTCAATGGTTTATAAGGTAACTGCTTTTTCTTTAGTTGGCTGCGTGTCTCAACAGCAAATGAAGGTTTAGTTGATTTCATCCAGTGAATATCCGGGTTGTCTGGTTTCCGAACGCCGTCAAAATTTCCAAGAATCAGATCAAACATTGGTGTTTCAAAGCACGATACTTCAATTGTTCCAGTAAAATATGGTGTGTCAACTTCAACTATCGCAACATCTGCATCTATTATACTTCCGTCAGCCAGCATGCATTTGTGAGTTTTTCCAGTCATTTGGTTTGAAGTAACCAAGCTTTTCCGAATCACCACACCACGACATCCGGTATCTCTTAACACTGTCACAAGTCTGTCTCCAACACATCCTTTCACAACTGGCATCACACCATTAGAAACGGAATCAATGTCACTAATGTCACTTTGTAGCCATGGTTTATGGGCACCAACAAAAGAAGAATCATGTTCTTTCCCCTGTGAAAAGCGACGTCCAGATCTGTTGAAGCTCTGTTGTTGCTCACTATAGCGGGGTGGTTTTTGTGGTCTGTCAGATTTTTCCAGAGTGTTTGCTGTCTTGGTTGCGAAAGATTTCCTTAAGGGGCAATCAAACTGCTTGTGTCCGTATTTGTCACAATTAAAACACTTGACTCCACCACTGGGTTTGCTACTGTCACTAGTGCTTGGAAAGGAGAATTGCTTTCCTATGGAAACTTTCTTTTCGAAGATAGGTCTCTGGGTAACAGCTGATGAACTAGTTGCTCTTGCCTCAACAAACTGATCAGCATATCTGGCCATATCCTGAATAGAAGGAGGAATTCGTTCTTTCAAGAATAAGGAAAGTTCTTTGTTACAACACAAAATAAATTGTTCCCGCAACATCAAGTCTTTGAGTCCTTCATACGTCTTATTTATTTTCGCTAATTCCATCCACCTCTCCAGATAACTTTCGATTCTTGTTGAAAACTGAAGAAAGGTTTCACTCCCATCGGGTTTTGAAGATCTGAATTTCTTTCTGAATCCATCCTCAGTCATGTCGAAACGTTTCATCAGTGCTTTTTTAAGTTCATCAAAGTCCAATGCACTATCTGGTGGTAATCTAGCGAACACGTCCAACGCTTTTCCTTTTAGAAGTGCACTCAAGTGAGCTCCCCAGTTTGTTCTTTGCCATTTCTGTGAGATAGCGTATCTTTCAAAGCGGTGTATATATGCGTCGATGTTGTCTTTTGCCTCATCAAATGCTGGTAGTTTTGGTCCTCTAACAGGTTGTTGGGTTTCAGGGTGATGCAGGGCTGTAGACTCAAGAACTTTCTGTGATCTTTCTGCTGCCAACACTTGAAATTTGTGATCTATTTCCATCTCTTCTATTTTTCTTTTATGTTCAGCCTCAGCGTTTTGCTCTCTCTTGATCTCCAATTCTAGTTGAAAGTCACGTTCTTGTTTAGCCATGCGTTCTGCACGATCTTTTTCACGTTCATCTCGGAGTCTTGCTTGTTCATTATTCACAAACTGTTGAAGTTCTGCATCCTTGAGTCCCATCTGCGTCCCAATTTCCAAGAGCTCCTTCATCTCCTTGATGGTAGACATCGTGCCTATAAGTACTGAGCCACCTTACCAAAACTTTAATAATCCAAGGATAATATACTTTCCAATTAATAAATATGTCTAACACCACCTTACCTTTGACCTACTTAAGAGAGAGCCATTCTTTCACTTACCTCTATCTTACTATGTACAGGAATCTCAAGACTAACTACTACTAGAGCAACCTAACCTATTTACATCTACTTGGCAAACCTTCACCTAAATAGTGAAAATGTGTAATTTGGAGAGGGTCAGCAATCCCACCGCTGCCACCAAATGTCACGTGGTCAAGCTGGCTATCTCCAAAAATCACACAAATTCAACTAAGTTTTAATAAATTTATTTACAAAAAAAGAGATAATAATAATAATAATAAAGAAGATTTCAAACAGACAACCACACTCTGATCCACACACTCTTCCACACTATTAAACCAAAAAAAAAATAATAGCAATTGGTAACCAATAATCAGACAATTAACCAATTAACCCCGGGTATAGATTTCACTCAAAGTATCAATGCCAAACATATCCCATTGGAGTCGTCATCTCCATATCAATGATTATCATTGTCATCATCACCATCATCGGCATCATCGTATGAACGAAACCATGTCAGATTTGCCAATACGTCAGTGTTCC